TGGAACTTTGAATATAATGAGATATCATGCTCATGACTGTGATATTTTACATATGTAATATAATTTTGGAATATGCAGTTAAGGTTACTAATCAGTTAACTAAATTAATCAAGGCAAGATTATCAGGGGGCCTGATTTAATTCCAGAAGCCCTTTAAAGGTAGAGCGTTTTCCCCACTTCTGGCAGAAGGAAAGTCAGATGCAAAGCATAAGACGAATTTGGTGGACCTTTGCAGGTTTCCAAAATGCAGGGGGCCACCTGCCAGGACCAAAGAGAGGCCTCTAGCAGCTGAGAACAACCACAACCATCAGTCAGCAAGGAAGCAGGAACCCCAGTCCTACAACTCCAGACGCTGAATCCTGCCAGCAGCCTGAATGAACCTGGAGATAGAGGCTTCCTCAGAGTCTTCAGGTAAGGGCCCAGCCACTGACACCATGCTAAAAGCCAAACCTGCCAGACTTTGAGCCCACAGAGCTGTGAAATGATACACAAGTACTGCTTTAAGCCACTAGATTTATGGTAATTTGCTATGCTGCAATAGAAAATTAGTATAGAGGAATATGTTATTGGTTTGGGGTTACATAAATGCCTGAAAATCTGCAATGCAATTTGTATTAATATTAGAAATTATAGAGAATTAATATTAGAAATCACCCAGAGCAATGTCTAACACGTGCTTATTATAACATTAACATTCAAGAAGCAGAAACCTAATAAGTGACCGTGTAGTAATTAACATAACAACCATGAAAAGCAAGATGAACAAGCAAGCATGTAAGAAACAGCTCTGAATGAGACCTTAAGGAAGCCAGGTTTTAGCCCTGGCTCTCCTCCCAGGTCGTCAACAGGTGCAGTCCCTCTGGGCCTCAGTTTCTTCTGCAAAAGCTGGTAGGTGTGCTAGATTATTTCTGATGATTGACAAAGGTAAAACTAAGCTCAGTGCTCTGAAGGGATGCTCCCTGGCCCCACTCTGGCCCCAGCTGATGTGCCAGTCTGCTGGCCTGGCTCCCCCCAGCATTGAACAGAAAGGAAGTGCTAACCAGCTTGGGTGGTTTAGCACCTCACGCCTGAGAGAAAAGACAAGAATTGCTTGCCCCTACATGCGCTTGTTCAAAACCTCTTCTGCTCAGTGTACAATCTATTATTTCTTGGGCGAGAAGTACAGGGTTTCTCTGCTTCCTGGTTTGGAACTAAGTTTCTCTTAAGCTGCATTTTTTAGCCCCACTACTTAAAGGGCCTTCCTCTGTTCTCTCTCTAGCTATAGCCTCTAAGACCTAAAGACTCCACCTCTCCAGGAAGTGATTTCCCCAGGGCAGGAAATAGAGAAGGCAGGACTCTGGACCCTGCTTACTTAGGTCTGATGTCCACCTCCATCTTGCCTTTTCTAACTTTATTGCATCTCATTTTCTCCAGGGAATAATAATAGTGCCACAAGCACTTAGAAGGGATTGCAGTAAGCCTTCACCATTCTCTCTGCTTCTCCGGTCTCCTCTGCTCTCCATCTGTAAGTATGTGCATGTGCCTGTGCATGTTTGTGTATGTGTATTTGGCACATAAACAGCATTCACATTTAATCATGTATTCTCTGCCTTCCTCCTTCTTTGTGAAGGTGTTGGCAGAGTTTTTCTGTTTTGCTGGAATCACCCAGCAGCCCATGAGCACCCAGGGCCCGTGAGTGCACCTGATGGGATGCGTGGCATACAGCCCAAGTTGCTGCTGTATCCACCCTCTTGCACTGTCATTTCCACTCTTCAGCCATTTGTAAAAAGGATGCCATAGAGGATGGTCAAGCTATTTGAAACTGACAACTAAGATCAGTCCACACAGGTCAAGTGTCTCCCTTTCCCTTGCCAGAATTTTATCAAGTTAGAAGCATGAAGTCAGCCAGAAGTGACTTGGAAGGTCTGCCTCACCCCAGACACCTGGGAGGAAAGATCCATAGACCACTGGTAGCAACCAAGGTCCTCCAAGCCCTGTGGGGTGTATTTCTCCAAGCAGTGCCAGGCCAGGACTTGTGCAGAAATCAAACCACACAAGGTGGGCAGAAAATACATTAAGTCGGGTGCCTTTGTTTCCTACTTCAGCCATGAAAGAAGTGTTTGTTACCAAAACTGTTTTGGTACTATTACCTTTCAATGGAGCATTTTCACATTGCTTCAAATAATACTCTTGACTATTGTCATCTTTTTACATTAAACCATAGAAAATATTTACTTTTGCTCTAATACTTTGCTATGACTCTGTTGAATGGAAATAATAATATTTTCTAAAACAGACTAAAATAGCTAAAACACACTATAAATAATCACAAATATGATTGCCAACATTAAAAAAGGAAGTTAAATGAAAAATGTTGATTAGAGCCTATTCTACCTCACCGTGTCTTTTTTGATACATATAAGGCCTTTTCTCAGACTAGATACAATATTTTTAAAATTTGGCCAGGCGCAGTGCCTCAAGCCTGTGATCCCAGCACTTTGGGTGACCAAGGTGAGAGATTCACTGAGCCCAAGGGTTCGAGACAAGCCTAGGCAACTTGGTGAGACCTCATCTCTACAATAAATCAAAAAATTAGCCAGACTTGGTAGCATACGCCTGTAGTTCTGACTACTTGGAAGGCTGAGGCAGAAGGATCACCTGAGTCCAGTAAGTTGATGCTGGGGTGACTGTGAGTGAGCCATTGCACTCCAGCCTGGGCAACAGAGTAAGACTCCAACTGAAAAAAAAAACCAAATCCTACCCAGGGAATGTGACATAACCAGGGCTTCAGTGGCTCTCAGTTTGAGAGCCAGAGCTCAGGTATCATTTCAATCATGAATCTGAAATCAACTAGTCAAGGAAAAGCAATTACTTATATTTGATAATCATCATTATTCATCCATTATTGTGCCAATGTTTTGTTAATACAACTTATTTTTTATATAATAATTTGAAGTGTCAAATAATTGATAATAAATTATGAGTTTAAATTATTTAAATTTGTAATATCTATTATAAAAAGTAATCTACCATGTTCAAGATATATTGCTAAATTCTGGAGGCTATAAGGCAATAAAATATAGCCCATGGAAACCTGAAAAACTACTAAAAGTACCTAAGAATGTAAGTACACCATAGAAAGAACATTTATTTTGGAATCAGAGAGACAAGGTCACTCTGCATCAGCTTTTGCATAAGTTACACAATATGTGTTCCCAAGGAAAATGCATTCTTGCATCAGAAACTTTAGCATCTTTAACATGCTCATTAAAAAAAAAAAAACAGGTCTAAAACTCTTTTATCCATAGGGAAAAAAGTGACATATGATTTGTAAGTAGATGCTGACTCTCATAGATTGTGCAGCATCCATGTGACTTCAAAACACCATTACCAGAAAGTATCTATAAAGACAAATATTAATAAATAGAACAAGCAATCCTTAAGCAAATCCCAAGCATGTCAAATCACACTAATTTAGTCATGTTAAAACCACCTACATGGACTCTTTAAGATTTATTTAAATAAAAAGCCAGTTTAAAATATAAAGTACACCATCATCAATAACTCAAAAAACAACAGATGCTGGAGAGGATACAGCAGAAAGGGGACACTTCTACACTGTTGCTGGGAGTATAAACTAGTACAGCCTCTGTGGAAAACAGTGTGACAGTTCCTAAAAGATCTAAAAACTGACCTCCCATATGATCCCACATTCCCCCTACTGGGCATATATCTGGAGGAACTCAAATCACTCTATGAAAAAGATACCTGTATACGCATGTTTATTGCAGCATTAATCACAATAGCAAAAACATGGAACCAACCGTGCTGCCCATTGAAAATGGACTGGATTTTTAAAAATGTGATACATATACATGATGAAATATTGCACAGCCATAAAGAAGGATAAAAGTGTGAACTTCACAGCAACTTGGATGGACTTAGAGTCTATAATACTGAGTGATCTATCACAGAAACTAAGAACTCTGAGTATCACATGTTCTCCCTCATAAGTGGACCTTGAACAACCATTGTAATACTATAAGAAAGGGATTGGCAGTAGTGGGAAACTGCCAGGGGATGGGGGATGGGATTGGCAGTTGAAGGGACCTGCTAGGAGAGGGGGCCCTACCTCATCAACTAGGGTACCTGCATAATGAACATTTGTATACCTAACCCTGAACTGTACCCCACATCTTTAGAATAAAAAATTAGAAATAAAATGTAATGCACACAGTAATTTCTGATAGCTAAAAATCTATTTATACACACTGCAAAATGTCAGGGTTCAAATTTCATGCAGTGGTCTACAGAAATAACAAGGAGAAAGACAAAAATTTTGATTAGAACAGGGTAACACATGATTGGAATTACTTAAAGGAAAAATCAAGTTGATAAGTTGGAAGGAACAAGCAGAAAGTTATAGCCACATGATAAGAAAAGAGGGAAATAAAAATTAGCATTGAAATTATTTAGCTCAATAATTGCTTCTCCCAAATATTTATTCAAAATAGATTTATTTGTACTCTAAGAGCAGAAACTGTGATCTGGAGTTCTAGTTCTTGTCTTCTTTATAATCAGGCTTACTAACAGCCAATTAAAAAGTTGAAGTTTTCCCTTGACTATCCTATAGTCTTTGAACCTTCTCAAAATAATGAGCATATTAGGATTTCATTGTATCATGCCAGAAAGATGATCTTTTACAGAAAAATGCCTGTCATAGCTCAATACATCTAAAGACCCAACAAAAAGATAATTTATTTTTATGCTAAAAATGTGCTAATCACCACTATTGAACTGAATTAATGAGGAAACAATAACAAAGTGTATTTTTACTGTAGATAATAACCAGAAATAACACTCTGTTCTGATATTGTTTAACTACCTACCTACGTATGTCTAGCTCTACCTGACCAGTTATCTATACAACTAAACCAAAACAATCCTCTTTTTAGTCTTTCTGATGTATGAATATAGAAACTATAGTTCTGTTACAATAAATAAGTCTCAATTCATTTCTCTAAACCTAATTTAATAACGAGAATACTCTAATGGCAGCAGCTGACTCTTATTGTACTGATAGTCCCTATTCAGCTGACTTGCAGGGGCTTTCTTTTTCTTTTACTTTTTTATGTGTATCCTTCATAAAAGTACTGCCACTATTATCCTCCATGGATGATTTTCCCAAGCAGCATATATATGCTCTGTGCAGAGCTTCCAAACAAATATTTGAGCTTGCTGTTCTTGGTTTTTGCCTAATGGCACCTGAAAAAGGTGGATTTGGTTATGGAGGCAACCGTTCAAAAGAGTAGACCCAGAAAAATGTAAATATAACCTCTTTCCAAAGCCAATCAACTTGTCATTGTAAATCAAGAAGGTAATTTCTAGTTTGACAATACTTAAACACTCAAATCTATAAACCTAGTAAAACATAAATACAACATTATATAACAATACAATCAGTTTGCCATATAAACCAAAGAGGAAATTTGCATCCTCAAAAATGTAAATGGTGAGTGATAGCAGAATGAATTAAGGCTGTCATCATCTGGGCTTTGC